GGGAAAAGCCCCATTCCTCACATCAGTCTAGCTTGTGGGAGGCACAGTTTAGTCCCTTGATGTCACTGTTGAGCTGCTGGAAAACCACATATAGGCTTGCTCTTCTAAATTCTAATCCAAACTTTGGGTTTGTGACTTAGTGGGAAGCATCCTGATGAGTTCATGCAGTGAGGAGTGACAGCAGTGAGGTTCAGAGAATCATAAACCTAAGAGGACAGAAAATTCCAAGGAGAAAAAAACCACAATAAAAATTTGGAATTTAGCAGACAGGAAAATGTTGGAATTAGCCAGTTTAACAGAACAAAAGAAGCCCATTCCTAAGTCATCTGTGCTTGATTTATTCCTTAGAATCTCCCAAAGTCACAAAGTGGCCCCACCAGGTGGGGTAGTATGCACTAAGAAAGGGAAAAACTGTCATGAAGTGGCTTAATCTCCACATCCTTTGCTCCATCCAAGGTGCCAGGCACATGCCTCTTGTCCGTCATAGCAGAAGGGTGGGGGTGCCTACAGACAAAAATACTAGGCTCTGTCCTTCCCCACTTGTACAGCTGAACTTTATTTGACAAGGAGGTTGCTCAGGAGGAAAGCTCTACAGCTCTAGCAATAGGGAATCACTGGACTCTCTATGTGAAACTCATCTTGTCTGAAGTTCAAACCATCATTTACTCCTCAGAGCTTCATTCTTAAAACCAAACAACCAAGATTGGGGACTGGGGAAAGCCTCCCATATGAACACAAGCCCACATGGGCTTGTGTGGATATGGGGTGTATGGAGGAAGAATGACTCAAGAAGAAACACTCCTCATACCCTCAGATGGACAAGGAGGAGAAAGGCCAAGGCTCTATCACCTGGGCCATCAAGTCACAGAAAGGGTTCTTAAAACTTAGAAATAAGAAAATAAGCCAGAATGACAAAAATAAGTATAAGAGGTAAGAATTTTAGAGACCCCTTTAATAGAGATAGTCTCTAGCTAACAAGACATTCCTTCCAGACAGGGATAAGAGAGAAAACATGAAGAAAATGACAGGATCAAGCAATTGTTCTCATCTGATGTATGAATTTTGGTATTGCAAATGCTCACCGTATTTCCAACACTGCATAGACATGTATTCACAACAAAGATCCTGTACAGTTTACAAATGTCATTGACAAGCAGACCTTCCTGGGGTAAGACTGAGAATTGCTGCAGATGTCTCAAAAGCAGTGCTGAAGCTGTAGCCTCATGACTAAAGGCCCTGGCTGGTGGTGCTAGTTTGCAAGATGCTGCAAATGTTAGAGTAGGCGTTCTCAATCTTCCTAATGCTGAGACCCTCTAATATAGTTCCTCATGGTGTGGTGACCCCCAATCAGAAAATTATTTTTGTTGCTTCTTTGTAAGTGTAATTTTGCTACTATTATGAATTGTGCTGTCAATGTCCGTGTTATCTGATGGTCTTAGGCAACCCATGGAAAAGGGTTGTGATCCACAAGTTGAGAATGCACACTGCATTAGAAGGTAGATCTTAGCTTCAAGAAGCTGGAGTCATGTCATTGAAAGGGTATTCTGTCTGTGATTCCTCCCTCTCTGCTTCCTGGCCACCACGAGGCATGAAGAATCAGCAAAACACCTCTTGGTGAGGTGGCATTAGGAAGAAGCAGGCATTAAAACAAGTGCAAGCAAATGCTTGACACTGAGCTTTGTGGACATTTCATTCTGATAAGGACAAAACTTTTAAAATTCACTGAAAACTAAGACAAATAGTGTGTGGCAAGCTGATGTCCTGAGTTGTTCTGAAAGCAGGTAGTGCATTTTACTGAATGTCACAGGGTGAACTGAGTGGGAGAACAGAGTGAATGAGAGTGGGCTCCTTAGCACATCATCTTGCTCAGGTCCCGCTGCCTTTTCTCTGATAAAGCAAAGCTTTGCAGTTTTCTTTTTCCCTTTCACATTTCCTAGCGGAGGAAGGAAGCACTCTTGAACTTTCATTCTGGGGTCTAGATGATTAGGTTGACTTCTCCCTGCTGTGCTGTGTTCATCAAGGCTCCAGGGACAGACCTGACTGAAGGCGACTCTGACATTCTTGTCTCTTATACTTTACTTATTCTTGTCATTCTGGCCTGTTTTCTTATTTCTAAGTTTCAATGAAGAAAAGACAGACACAGAAAGAAATTGAATTCGGTTGGACTGGGCTCTCTGATGGGGAAAACAAAGCAAGTAAAACTCAGTATGTTTATCATATTGAGTTGAATAGGGAGGCAGGGTTATTGTATAGAGCTGAAAAAGGAAGCAGGTTTAGTTAATGTGAGTAGTAGCAGTCTCTGTAGGGTATTAGCCTGCAGGCCATAAATAGTCCTGGGGAAGAAAGCTATGGTGGACCTTTGTATGCACTCACAATCAACATTTGCACTTAGACCTGGAAGGAAGGCTTTGCTATCAATTTTCCCATGGGTCTGAGGCTTTGTGGTTTTGTTTTTTCAAGACAGGATTTCTCTGTATAACAGCTCTGGTTGTCCTGGAACTCACTTTGTAGACAAGGCTTGCCTTGAATTCACAGAAATCTGCCTGCCTCTGTCTCGCAAGCACTGTGATTAAAGGCGTGCACCACCACCTACTGGCTACCAATGAATTCTTAACTAATAGAGATTAAACTTCAAATAAGATTTAGCTAGAGGGCTGGAGAGATGGCTCAGAGGTTAAGAGCACCGGCTGCTCTTCCAGAGGTCCTGAGTTCAATTCCCAGCAACCACATGGTGGCTCACAACCATCCGTTATGAGATCTGGTACCCTCTTCTGGTGTGCAGATATACATGGAAGCAGAATATTGTATACATAATAAATAAATAAGTAAAATCTTTAAAAAAGATTTAGCTAGAGAATGATTGCAGTGAAACAAACACATACATACACACACACACACACACACACACACACACACACACGCCGGGCAAGTAAAATGGAAGGAAAACTTTAAAGTTGTCAAAACAGAATTTACATTGCAGAACATTTTTAAAGAAAATGATCATAATGAGATGGTAAGATGTTTTATAAGAAACATGTAACAGTCTTAGAGATATAATAAGGGAGACCTTCAGCAACCAAATGCACATTCATAATGAAAATAATCATTTAACAGTGGAGGAAACCTAACCTGGCACATTTGTATCTGGGGATTTAAATTTATCTGTTTCAGGATTTAGAGATCAAGCAGAAAGGACAGGAGGATACTGTACACAGAACACTGGCGAGACAAGTAGAAAGTAGGAATGAGGAAATCCACCTGAGAAACATGAGATGTGATCTGATGCATTTAGGAAAATGTGCATTTAAGTAGCCCAGCACTGTTACAATAGATCTTTCTGCCAAAAGCCTCCTGAGCCCCACTGCCATGTGTGAACTTTACGACAGCCGCCAGCCCAAGTTAGGCCCAAATGAATACACAGAAACTTGTATTAGGTTTAAAGCTGCTTGGCCAATGACTAGGATTCTCATCTGCTAGCTCAGTCTTAATTATCATAAATCTATATATTTTATAAGACTTACCTTATCAGACGCCTTGTTGGTGTCCCTCCTGTCCAGTGGATCACATCGTGCTGCTGGAGCAGGAGCGGAGGGGAAAAGAGGGCCCTTCCTGTTTCTCCTTTGCTTAAATGAGTCTCCTTGCTATGTCACTTCCTGCCTGGATCAGCACTTCTCTACTACATTTCCCAGAATCCTCTTTGACTCCTAGTTCCATGTAACTTGCTGTCTCATTGGCCAAACAGTATTTTATTTAACAATAAGATAAACATACACAGTAGTACATTCCCCATCACAGCACTTTGGCAAAAGTTCAACAGTTGGCCACACCCAGTGCTAGAGATGACATAGGCATTTTGAAAATAGGGATTTTCAAAAGCTATTGGTAGAAGTTGAAACTATTACAATAATTTGAATTATTATAGTATATAAAAACATTTAGGGAGTGTAAACTTTAAAAAGCTTTTAAAACTGCAAATGGCCCACCATTCTGAAGTTTGGAAATCTGTCTCACAGAAATAATAGAAGCAAATGGAACTGGCTACGTTAGTGTTCACCAGAATGATGCTGAGTGAAGTTACAGCACATCCAGATTGTGGCATGCATACTTAGCTGTTGGGAAATGTTTGTTGACAGGCAACAGCAAACGGTCAACTAATGTTTCTGGTTTGACATTTGTCTAAGAATTTGGATGAGTGAGAAAACCCATATGTAAGACAGAAGTTAAATAAGAATGTGAAGGAAGCCATGGAAGCACCGGCCACACTGGTGATGATTGTCATCTTAGGGAAAAACTAGAGAGTGGAAGGTCTTGATCCCTTGTTCTTGCTGTAGTAAGCACATAAAAAAGATTAATGTCGTAGATCAAGCAAGGAAAGACATTTTTCTTTTCTTTTTTTTTAAATAAGATTTATTATGCATACAATGTTCTACCTGCACATGTGCCTGCAGGCCAGAAGAGGGCACCATATCTCATTACAGATGGTTGTGAGCCACCATGTGGTTGCTGAGAATTGAACTCAGGACCTCTGCAAGAGCAGCCAGGGCTCTTAACCTCTGAGCCATCTCTCCAGCCCTCATTTTTCTAAGAAATGTGGTTTTCAGTCATCAAGAGCTTGGATGCTCTACAGTGGTTCTCAACCTTCCTAATGCCGTGACCCTTTAATATAGGTCCTCATGTTGTGGTGACCCCCAACCAAAAACAATTTTTCAATGCTACTTGTAACTGTAATTTTGATGGTGTTACAAATCAGAAGTATCTGTGTTTTCTGATGGTCCTATGGGACCCCGTGAAAGGGTCGTTTGACCTCCAGAGGGGTCTCAACCCATGGGCTGAGAACGGAGGCTCTAAATGGTGAGCTTTCATGAGACTCACAGCAGCATTTGTTCTCCCCAGCTGTCAGTGAGTCCCAGATGCTTTGTGTTTTAGCTAGTGATCTACCTGCTCTCTATCTAGTGTTAATGCTTCCGCTGCTACATCTACAAATACTTTTGCTTTCCCAGGTCTGTCTTCATCAGTGGAATTCAACATAATGGAATTGGAGCAAGAACTTGAGAATGTAAAGACCCTTAAGACAAAATTAGGTATTGTACTTTTTCTGGATTTATTTGTTGGTCTTGGTTAGTTATTTTAAATGACTGCAAGATATTTGAAAATTTATGAAAGTCTAGTTTGTGTTAAAAACTTTCTGTGTTCAGAGTCATTGACTGGCCTTTCTTATGGGAGAGCGTAAGTATATATTCTCTGAAATTGCTTTTTTTAAGGCGTATTTATTTTTATATGTACGAGTGTTTTGCCTGCATGTCTATCTATGTAACCCCTAGAACTGGAGTCACCAGTGGTTGTGAAACACCTTGTGGGTGCTAAACCACTGAGTTGTCTCTCCAGCCCCTGAAGTTACTTTTCAAATACGTTAATATTCAAAGATGTAGGGTTTTTGTCTCTTCACTTGAGTTGATTTTTCCTGTGTGTGGCTGCACACATGCCAGAGTGGGTGCAGAGGTCAGAGAACAACTTGCAGAAATAGGTTCTTTGTTTCTAACATATGGGCTTTGGGTATTGAACTTGATTTGTCAGGCTGGTGGCAGGTTACTGAGTCATCTTGTTAGCCCCACTTGCTTTATTTTTGAGAAATAATATATAAAAAATGTCTCTGTCAATGTGATTTTAAAAAATGTGCTTTTAAGGTATCATTTTTATGACTTATGTAAGGTAGTTTGATTATGATGTGCCTTAATGTGGTTTTCTTGGCTTTTGGTTCATCAAGTTTCTTGGATGTGGGAATTCACACTTTTCATATAACTTAGAGAAATTTTAGTCGTTAGTTTCTTCAGATGTTTTTCTTTTCTCCTCTGTGTTACCCTTTCCAGGGACTTCAGTTATTTGCAGATTGGCTGTAGCTCAAGGCCGCCTCTCTCTGTGTTTGGTTTTGGATAGTTTCTGTTGCTGTTTTACTCATCTCAACTTTTCTTCTGCAGGTCTGGTATGTCTCTTACCCCAACTGCTGTATTTTGTTCTTAGACACTGGTTTTCCATTTTGCTTGGGCCTGTTATCTTCATGCTGCTAATTGACATTGTTCAATCTGTTTCCTCCAACTCTGTTGGAAAAAAGAAGGAATATAGTTATTAGAGCACTCAAAGTATGTGTGTGTGCATGTGTGTTCACCCCTGGATGCATGTGCATGCCAGAAGTTAATACCAGATTTCTTCATTGGTGCCGCCTTCTTCTTCTTCTTCCTCTTCTTCTTCTTCTTCTTCTTCTTCTTCTTCTTCTTCTTCTTCTTCTTCTTCTTCTTCTTCTTCTTCTTCTTCTTCTTCTTCTTCTTCTTCTTCTGAGATTCAATTTATTTTTATTTTTTATTGAATCTGTAGCTCACTGATTTGGCTACTCTGCCTAGCCAGAAGTCCCAGAGAACTTCCTGTCTCTGCCTCCCCAGCCCTGGCATTACAAGCGTGTGCGCTATACTGGGCTTTCTCATGTGGATTCTGGTGATCAAACTCAGGTTTCTGTGCTTGCACTGCAGGGACTTTACCAACTGAGCAGTCTCTGTAGCCCCTCTGAGAGCTGTGCTGGTTGTCTATTGTTTTGTCAAGCTAATTCTGAGACCCTTTAATACAGTTCCTCATGTTGTAGTGACTCCAAACCATAAAATTATTTTTGTCTCTACTTCATATCTGTAATTTTGCTATTGCTATGAATCAGAGTGTAAATATCTGTGTTTTCTGATGGTGTTAGGTGACACCCCCAATGGGGTCAAGATCCACAAGTTGAGAACTGCTGAGCCGGAGCTAGCGTCATTTGAAAAGAGAGAACCTCAATGAGAAAATGCTCTATCTACTAAATTGGTCTGTGGGCATTTTTTCTTTTGATTAATAACTGATATGGGAGTGCCCAGCCCATTGTGTGGATGGTGTTACCCTTGGGGAGGCTGAACATGTGACGAGGAGCAAGCCCATTAGCAGTACCCCTCTGTGTCCTCTGCCTCAGCTCCTGCCCCACACTGCTGCCTTGAGTTCCTGTCATGACTTCTCTTAGATGATGTACTACAACTGTAAACTAAAATGAACCCCTCTCTCCCCAGGTTATTTTTGGTCATAGTGTTGTATATCACAACAATAGAAACCCTAACTAATACAAAAGGATTTCTAATCTCTTTGCCTGTGAATTATGACATATTTGTTAGCTCTTGGTAAGTTTCAAATAGTTGGCTTTGTTTCATATTATTGTTTTTATTTTGTGTTTCTTTGTATGTTTGGCAACTTTTGATGGAAAAATAGGCATTTTTGGGATGCTGGCATTTTTTGCATCCCTGTGAGGAAGGAACTTTGGTTTGAAATGCAGATAACTAACTCAGTTACCTGGCTCTGAAATCTCATCAGGCTGGACCAGAGCAGTACTGCTCTAGGGACCTGCTCTACTGTGGGGCATCTCTCCTTGTGGCCTTTTGTGTTATGTTTTTCTCTTTTGCAGGGGGGCCTGCCACCCAGCTCCTAAGTGAATCACACATGGAGTCTTATTATTACATATGAATGCCTAGACTTAGCTTGGCTGTTGCTAGCTAGCTTTTCTTAAATTAACCCATATACCAGAGCTGGCCAATAGTTTCTCCTCCCCACCCTGGGCAAGTGACCCTGGCCGAGTGTCCTTCATTCACCAGCCCCCCCCCCCCATCAGTTTTTTTTTTTATCTGTCCCATTTTCTTTGATTTTTTTTCAGATTCTAGTTAAATATACACTAGACTTTTCATCATTCTTTTATCATTTTTTTTTTTTTTTTGCCCTAGCCTCTCATGCTGTCTTCTGGTTGTCTCTCACTTTAGTATCTCTCAGCTGTGCCATAACTGTTGTTTGAACTTATTATTTTATTATTGAATCTTTAATTTCACATTCACAGTGTTATTCATTGATCAGATTTATTTGTGAGTTTTGTTGTTTTGTTACTTATTCAGTTGAATATCAGTTAAGGCCTCTTTCTATTAAGTCTGTGTGTGGACCAGTTGAGGGTCTGTTTCTGTTGGCTTTTTTTCCTTTTTGTCTCCTGGTAATGTTTGACTGACTTTTGGATATTTCTTAAAATTATAGAAACTGGAGGATATTCTCTTCTTTTGGGTGCGCTTTTACCATGGCCTTTCCATAGCTTTCCCACTACTGAGGTCTTGAGGAGGAAGGGATCTACATGGCAGGGTTACTTCCTTCCCTGTTTCTTCTCTCTGGGATTTTGCTTTCTCAAAGTCTGACTGCTTTGGTAACTCCAAGCTTCTTGTTTTTTTCCCTCCTTGATTCTCCTGGGTTTCCTGAGAGTTTTGCCTCAGCATTGCTGCTGCTTTTGCCTCTTTTACAAATGAAAAGGGAAAAGAGCTCTCTCTCTCTCTCTCTCTCTCTCTCTCTCTCTCTCTCTCTCTCTCTCTCTGTGTGTGTGTGTGTGTGTGTGTGTGCGCGCGCGCGCGTGTGCGCTCCTCTGCTTGACTGTATGTGTGCCACATATGTGTAGGTGCCTACAGAACTCCTGGGGCAAGAGTTACAGGTAATGGTGAGCCACACAGTGTGGGTCTAAGAAGCAGACCCAGGTCCTCTGGATGAGGAACAGGTGCTCTGAACTGCTGAGCCACCCCAGGCCTTTGCCATTCATTGTCTCTTGGCTTCCGCTTGATTTCTTAGACTCTTGGGCCCATGACAACTCAACATTGGAAAATGCCTTGCTGGGGATGGATGTCCACAGGGAGGGCTCACCTCTACTACATCACACAATATCAGCCTCGTTCTTTCCTTATCTTGTTGTTCTAATACATCCAGAGATGGTTTTCAAGTTCACTTCCTCTTCCCTAGTGTTCATAGCATGGGATGGGTGTGGTGTAAAGTAGTTTTTTTCAGCTAAAAGGGAAGTTCCCTTATAATCTTTGGAAAACAGATGCTCAGCCTTGGACCTGAGACTAGAGGGACTTATTGTCCACACTCAAATATCTGCCTATAACAGTGTATACATGTGTATCAAGTACACATATTCTTCATCTTAAAAGTGAGATATTCATTAACTGTATTTCCTTAAAAGTAAAATTGTGTTTACCAAGCTGAAATGTAAGCTTCATGAGATTGAACTTTTAATGTTGTAAGCTGATTTTAAATGGATTTTTATAGTTTGTAGAGGAAAATAAAAAGCTATCTTAAAATTTATGTTTTTTGGAAAACAAAAATAATGTATACTGTTTATACAGTATAATGAGGTGTGATGAAATTATGAATCTGGAGAGAATTTTTGGAAATTGCTGAAAATTTTTATTTTGTTTTTCTTTTTAATAGAGAGGCGAAAAAAGGCTTCAGCATGGGAGAGAAACTTGGTGTATCCTGCTGTTATGGTTCTACTTCTTATTGAAACAGTAAGAAGTTACTTGCTGGCTTAAATTAAGTGTATTTTCTTTTGTATAGTGTTTCCCAGTGGAGCTGTTCCCAGTAAACTGGGTTTCTATCAACAAAATCAAAATCTGTCTGTATCTCAGTTTATAAAAATTCAGCAGAACAAAAATGGAAATGAATGACAATTAGATAAATCCTTAAGGCTGTACTTCCTCCTGCAGCAGGAATGGCAGATTTTGCTTGAGAAGAATTAAGAAAACATAAAGCATGGCTGCTGCTCCAAAAGCTGCAGGAGTGGGTTCCTTTCCAAGATTAACTGTGATAAAGCTCAGCCCAGTAGAGTCTGTGGAGCTATGGGCTTCTCACTGAGAAGTCTACATAGTAAATCCATCCATGTTGTTATCTTCTGTCATAAACCTGGAAATTATAATTTACAGAATGTTTAGAATTTGTCTTGGAGTTCTTGTATATACTTTTCTGTCCCCCATTCTGAAAGACACATGTGATGGGTATTGTCAAAAGTAGTGTTTGAAACTGAGACCTGACAGCTCCCTCTCTGTTGCAGTCCATTTCGGTCCTCTTGGTGGCGTGCAATATTCTTTGCCTGCTAGTTGATGAGACTGCAATGCCAAAGGGAACAAGGGTAAAGTTAAATGCATTTAAAAGTCTTTCTACAAGTGTGTCTGAATATTTTATGTCAGTTCCTGGAATCACCTTTCTGGATGTAAATATTCCAAGCCCTATGAATTTCTCTGAATAATAAAGAGCTTTCACAAACATGTTCATAAACACACACACACACACACACACACACACACACACACACACAGACACATGCACGCATGCACACACACGCACGCACGCACGCACTGTACACACACACACACACACATACACACACTCACTGTACACACGCATGCACTGTGGTTTCTAGGGCATTTGTTTTTGAGTATCAGGGTTATTTATAGACTTCAGTGTCAGACTTAATGTTGATTTTTACTGACATTTTTATTTGTAATCCTTTAAAGAAAATGCATGCTCTAATAGTGATGTATAAAGAGCAGATCAGCTAGATTTAACAAATTTGTTATATATTGGGAAAAGTGGAGGGAATTGTGTGTGTGAAGTATCACAAAGTTTATGAACTTGTTTAATATGTGTGGTTATTAGAGGAGAGTCCAGATGTGTTTTTTTTATAAGTAAACTTTTATCTGGTTTAAAGATAGGTGATTCCAGTAATCATGGTGGCATATGCATGTAATCCTGGCATGCAGTCCAAAGACTGAACATTGTGAATGTGAGCTCAAGGCTAGCCTGGGCTACACATTAAAACCCTGTCTCAAAAATAATCCCAAATAAGAAAGTTGATGATTTTGTTAGATTCTGGCATTCATTTGACTATCTGTTCTACAAGGAAGACATGTATCATTAAATATCCATAGTTAACATGCTGCCTTTTGTCATCCTTTTGCAATCCTCTTGCCTCAGCCTCCTAAGTGCTGAGGTTACAGATGTATGCCACTGTATTTAGCTTGCACACTTTTCTAGGCGTCTATAAAGTTTGGAAACAGTCCTCTTCTGCTGCTGCTGTTGCGGCTGCTGCTGCTGGTGTGTGTGGGCACACATGCATGTGCACATGTCTGTGCATGTACACATACATGTATACATACATGTACACACACATACTTGTGTTTATGTTTCGGGACAGGATCTCATGTAGCCTAGCCTGGCCTCAAACTCCCTCTGGAGCCAAGGATAACTTAGCGACTGATCCTCTTGCTCCTACCTCCTGCATACTGGGATTACAGGTATGGGCCACCAGATCTGGGGGCTTTTGAATATATAAAGTGCTATTTGATTTACATTTTGAAGTTCATTTTGTTTTCCTAGGTCAGCAGCTTTTCCGGTCCTCATAGTGGTAACTTTAAAAAACCCTCTTGACCTTATTATGTCACATTTCTCTGTAAGCCAGTTGTTGGCATTTTTTTTTTCTCATAGAAAAAAAGTCATTCCCTATCTTTTTAAAAATTCAATTGTCCTTTTATATGCATAACAGACAATTACATAACATTTAGCTAGATGGTCATTCCCTATCTTAATTCCTTTCTTTTCATATGAGATGAAGATACCCTGCTTTTAATTTCTTTAGCCATTTAGTCAAGAGACTTTCCCAACCAGCAGTGTGTCTGAGACCTCTTGTCCCCTTGTCACCCTTGATTCACCCAGCAGTTTTCCTTTGAGTGTCTTCTGCAAAAGACACTCCTGTCTCTGCAGCTCAGCTTGGTCTTTTTTATACCACAATCCCAAACCAGGAAGTTGCTCCTGTGACTTTTGTTGACTCACCACTCTTTAATGTAGCAGAAGAGCAGGGTGCATTTTGTGTCGTCTCCTTACTGCACAGTACAGTGACTTGTACCTCTAGGGCTCCCTGCATGCTCCTGTAAATGTATGAGCCCATTTTAAATTTTCCCCTAGTCTCCCTTGAGAGAGTGAATATTCCAGAGCATTTTTCCATCCTGGCCCATATCCCTTTGTAGGGGAGGATAGTAGGATCTTTTCCTTATCCAGTACAGAGTTCATGGTGGAGGTCTGAGTAGCAGTAGGCACAGTGAGAGAAAAGTGGATGGATTTACTTAATGTAAAATTTATGAAAGCTTAGCTTCCATTTGCTGAGGGGTGGGCAGTGGTGGGCATGCTGGACCATGAGGTGTGGTGTGCTGCTCCTTAATCTTATGCTTCACTGCTTCTGGCTCCTGCCTTCAGGGAGGAGGAGGCTCCTCTTCTCTGGAGTAGGGAGCACAGCCTGTACAACAAGGGGTCTTCCTAGGGTGCCAAGTTGGGATAGTGTGTCCAAAACCTGACCACTTGCTCTTGGCATTGTCCATGTTCTCTTAAATGACAAAAATGATACTCACGCCATCACTTTATTCATGTATAGAATTGCCATGGTTATTCTTATTTCTTTATGTCCAAATTAGAGTGTATATATAATGTGTGTGATACTATCTATTGGTTTATATTTTATTAGTCTGGCTGCATTTTGCTTTACCTCTGCTGTTGTAATTTAAGATGACCAGGGGAATGGTGATGGACATTCCTTTACTCTCTAGCAGTAAGCTTTAAAAGTACCATTCCTGTTTTAGTGGGGAGTGATGTTTGCTGTCAGTTATCAGCATCTGGACATTATTTATTCTATTTTGTCTAAGTTCTTGATAAAGACAGGTCATGAGATTGGGCTAATATTTATGAAAGTTTATGCACTGTTTTTTGTTTTAAAATTACTTTAATTTTTTTTAAAAAAAATTGCTAGCAGTCACACTTTTGTAATTGAATTATTGAGGAAAATTTGGGAAAGGAAACTGGATATACGTTATTTGTAAGTATATCTTACGTTTGGTAGGCCTTATGGTATAATTTTTATATGTTGCTTCTGCCCTGTTTAGGTCTATATTCTACTCTAAACTATTATATATTAGTCTATTAAAAAAAAACTTCCTAGAATATTCAAGATGCTTTTCTCAAATAGCAGATTGTTACATTTTATAGCAGTAATCATAATGGTATCATTTTGGCAAGGGACTTAGAAGTACAGTTGAGGTAAATGGGGTTAATTTTGAACCTGTTAAAATTATTAACATGCTGCTGAGTTTGTGATGAAGTCAGTTAGCCTTTGGGAGATTCATGCTATTCTTAGGTGTTGAATGTTCCCAGTTGGAACTGTCTTGTGCAGTGGTACCACTGGTTCTGAGGAGTGTCTTCCCTGCAGGGTCCTGGGATAGGAAGCGCCTCTCTTTCCACTTTTGGCTTTGTGGGAGCTGCACTTGAAATCATTCTGATTTTGTATCCTTTCTTCAGCTGAATGTTATGTCTGTTGACAAGTTTTCTGTCTAGTTCCTGGGACAATGGTAATTTAGTAAGACACTTGTCCAGAAGGAAAAGCAAATCAGTCCTTCTCAAGCCTCAGTGGCTTTTTGTTGTGTTTTGGTTTTCCTGTGGGCTTCAGACTTTGGGAAATGTGCATTGTCTTGGAGTATTTTTCCTTCATTCTTACAGCTATCTCATGGTGTCTTCTGTTGTTGGTTTCTATAGCCTCAGATTTTTTGGAAACTTTACACCCAAGAAGGATGACACAACTATGACAAAGGTAAGGTAAAGTCTTAGGTGCTGGTGGCTTTTCTTTTGCTTCCAAGACAAACAAGTGCTTTAGTTAGTAATTGCCCTGAATGGTTCATCTGACCTGATAAGTATTTGTAAGCAGCAGACACACAAAGGAAGATTTTCGGAATGCTGAGTAACTAGAAAAGGATGTGCTCTGTGTAATTTGGACTTTGTCCATTCACTTGTAAATGCATAGAACTACAGAACTTGGTAACTAGCTGTGGAATTCTCCAGAAAGGACCCCTTTTCTTCTTAAAGAAAACATATTGCTAATGAATAACTTGGACTATGCTAACTGTACTTCAGGAACTTTTCTGAAATCTGAAGAACTTAGTTGCTACAAGTAGTAAAGACAAAGTATTTCAATTCTGAATAACTAAAGTGAGAAGGAAGAGCTGTCTGCTTAGAAACAATGTGGTCTGAGGCTAATTTGACTTCATACAGTAGTATGTCATTGGCCAGAACAATAAAGACTTACCTTATATAATAAATGGATCTTAGTAAAATATCCTCACAGGCTGCCTAAGAAGAATGGTTAAAAGCTGCTGGCCTGTTTCCCTTTTTATTATATGGTCTATATTTACAGCCTATTTAAAGTGTGTATGTTTGTATATATATATGTATGTGTATGGCAAAGAACCCCTCTATATATACATATTACATATATGGGATATCTGTCTATCCATCCACCCAGATGTATAAGGCTACAGATTCTTTCTTTTTCCATTCTAAACATTCTTTTTAAAAGTTTATTTAAAAATTTATTTTTCATTTCACATACCAACCTGAGTTCCCCCTCCCTCCCCTTCTTCTGCCCCTTGCCTCTCCCCCCTTCCTGGACTGACAGCTGGGGAACCTGCATGGGACTGAACTAGACCCTTTGAATGTGGGTGACAGTTATGTAACTTGATCTGTTGGGGGGTGGTGGCTGGCAGTGGCCACCACCTGTCCCAGGGGCATGAACTTTTTTTGGAGCCTATTCTCTATGGTGGGATACCTTGCTCATCCTGGATACAGGAAGGAGGGGCTTGGTCCTGCTCCAACTTGGTGTGCCAGACTTTGTTGACTTTCCAAGGCTACAGATTCTTGAAAGTCAATAAGTAGCCAGTATCTAGTTGAGGTGATTATAAATACTAATCGGTGTTTTCAGTGCCTCTTTTTGAAGATGAAAGAGTAAACAGAAGATACATTGAAAATGGATTACAAGAGTTTAGATATTTTGGTTTCTAGTGTTTTCAAATCTAAGACTGAATCTTATAATAGTTAAACAGATCAGAGTAGATATTATGTAAAAGAACTTGGCAGCAGCCAGCCTTTAAGATTTAGTCAGAAGTCCAAAGGTATTCTTTTTTTATATCATAGTCAAAGCTTTCAAATTAACAACCACATCAATAATATAAAATGTGTGTGATTTAAGTATTCTATGAGTTTATATTTGCCCCTACATTATATATATTTTGTGGAATTCATAGAGACAACTTTAAATGAAAAGGCTCCTTATGTTTAAATTCTACTCTAATGGTTAGTGTCATTAAGCAGTTGCAGAGTGCCCTGGGTATCTACCCTGCACTGTGGCTCCCAGAGTACTGTTAGTGGCTCTTTGCCACCTGCTGTTTTACTGCTCACTGTCCTTTCTTTCTCTCCACAGATCATTGGGAATTGTGTGTCAATCTTAGTCTTGAGCTCTGCTCTGCCTGTGATGTCAAGAACACTGGGTAAATTTTTCTGAGAAATGTTCATTAAAAATCGGTATCTTTATAGATAGTTTTACTAAATCTTTTTAACTTTTGCTTTGTAAATTGTTTTTCAAAATCACCTTTAAAATATAATACTTTTTTTACATTATCCTGTATTTCATTTGTGTATAGGGCCATACCAAAACAAGTGCTTTTCTTAAAGAAAGGCCATTTATTTTTTAAGCACTTAAAACATTCCTTTCCTAAACAATAGAAACTCCCTGCCCCCACTACATTCACAAGTTGGGCTTTTGAATCTTCTAGTGTGGAATCTGTGACTTTTAATGCCTAGAAAATATTACCATTTTTTTTCATACATGAAGTATCTTTCCAAATGTATAGTTTAATGTATGGTTTTGAAAAGTAGAAATTTGTAAATCCATTTTAAACTGCTTTGTGTCCATGAAAACAGAGCTGAGCATGATATGCAGTCCCTGGGAGCAGATGCCTGCCAATCATAGCATTTCCTTACGTTATCAGTGTTCAGACAGGTTTTTATCATCTTTTAAAAGTAAAAGAGAATTCTACTTTGTAACTGAAAGAGTTGAGTCACAAGTCATCTGGCCCTTTTTATAAAGCATTGTTCTAGGCTGTGTGTTCTTGGCTAAATATTGTTTCAGGCAGAAGTTTCTTTTAGGCAGTTCTATACAATTCTCTAGACTTAGGTTTTAACTTTGGAAATTAATGATTAGAAAATGACCAGACAGATTTCATCTGTGAATTCTGACCATGGCTCCAATAGCACTTTAGGCCTGGGGGTTTGCTGTCCTCAGGCACTGCATCCTTTGCTGATTCAAGGCTCATGCCATCAGGGTTGCAGCTATGACAGAAAGTGGGAGCTTTGTAGTTTTCTTCATAGTTTTTTTTTTTTTAACAAAGTCTTCCATATTTTAATAAAAAGTAGAATTAAAGTCTAACTGTAGAAGAGACCTCTATGTCACCAGGCATTTATTTAGTGGGTATGTCTCTTCCATGTCTGATGGTAGGACACAACTGCTTATGGTGTGCTAATCTTGAAACATGCACATTAGTGCCACCATTGAAGCTAAATGCTATATCTATTAGCACAGCCCAGCACATAATGGTAGAGATCAGCCATCTTTCCACTTTAAACCTTTGCAAATTTTATTTATTGTACTTCGTTATTTAAGGGTAATTGATAATCATTAATGTATTTCAATTTTGTGGGAGAAGAAAAATCACACGCCTCGTATAGGCTTAATACGAAGAAAACAAATTAATGGCAAAATTTACCTTTTGAAGCCTGACAAATTAAATTCCTGAGTAGTTTGCCATAGAGATAAATAAAAAGGAAAAAAAAAAAGATGGAACAATTAAAATGCAGCTGAGAAGCTCTTGGACCCAGCTGTCCAAACAGGATTAGTGGGGCGCGCTGCGGTACAGTGAGCCATGCGGCGCCGTGTAAGACAGCGGCACGCATGGCAATACGTGCTATGCCCAGTGGCACTGAATAGATGAAAAGAGTAAATACGTTAAACAGATTCATGGAGGCTTTCTGTAGTATTAAAAAAGCAAAGTTCTAGACTAGAGATAAAGCCTTATTTTAGTATTATGGGAAATGCAAACTAGAGAGTTACTTTGTAATTCTTCTGTTAACGCTTTAGGATTGAGCCTTTGATTTTAAGAAGGTGAGCTACAGAGAGCTGTGGTGAGTGTGCCCCTGCTGAAGAGCGGGATTGTGATATACAGCTGAAATGCTTGAGACCAGAATAGAGGATGCATTAACCACATTCCTAGCTGTGAAGGTTCCCCTCTCTCCTCGCCTCTCAAAAGGAGATCTGACCTCAGCGTGGTTTCCTTCGCTCCTGTGAGATCAGCTCACAGCATCTGTCATTAGGAGAAACGGGACACAGAAGAACAAAATATAGAACCTAACGTAAAACTTTTCTCTGTTTCAATGATGGTTTGATGGAGAGGATGATCTCAATTATGAATTGAAAGTACACTGAATCCAGACCACCATAGTTAATTTGGCTATACAAAATTTCCAAAAAAGGAAAGAAAGAAAGAAAGAAAGAAAGAAAGAAAGAAAGAAAGAAACAGGGAATTTTCTTGTAGCTATTTTCTTTTAAAAATCATCAGCTGCTCTTGTTGCTGCGCCGTGGGTACTGCAGTCTACAGCTGAAGGTTTGAGTGCACGGTGTGATATCACATGCTCATTAAAGCATTACTCTCACATAGCTTGCTATATTTGAGTGGGGAAAATGTATTCATTGAAAAATGTCCACTAAATAACAATATGCTTATCACCTGCTACAGAGAAGTTGTGAGGGTTATTTTGAGCTGGCATTTTAAGTCAAAGAAATGAATGTAGTTTATTGTATGTAGCAAACGTAAGATTTTTTGCATTCAGCTCTTTAAACCCTGTAAGAGCATTGGCCGCCTGTAATCCGATGCATTGCTCCGTTGTGTGGTCAGACTGTGGTTGTGAGGAGCCCCTGTTTTGTCATAGTGGAGGCTCTTAAGTAATAGATTACTGTCTAACACAGTCTGAGTCTGACTAGAGGAGATAGTTGCAGAAAGGTGCATTCAGAGCAGTGAACCAACCATCTGTAGATGCCCAGCCTTCTCTGTTTTGAAGAACATGTCTCATATAGTTAGTTGCCAGCATGGTCCTTATAGTGCTCTGTGAAGAAAACAATTGAAGGTTGTTTCTCATTATTCCTCATCTGAAGTCCCAGAACAATTTTCCTTCAGTTGCAGACAACTGTCTTTGAGATACATTTGTTAGTTATGTTTCAAAATTACTTTTATTTTTATCTTGAAAACCTTTTCTGTACTTTATAAGTTACAAGTTATGCAAGGTCCAAATGCTGACTTAGAAAAAGTATTTATGATACTGAAACAAAAATACCTTTAGATCAGCTGGTACATATTTTAGGTATCTCCACCTATTCCTCATCTGAGTTCAGCAATCTGTCATCTAGCAGGAGATAAGGTGGATTATTCTCTTTTGTTGCATCTTGATTCAGGGACTTCGTTAGAAATCACTGTTTCTTGAGGAGTTTTTTTGTTTGGGTAAACTGTTAGTCTTCACTCTGGGCTTTGCCTGTTTCCTGTTTCTCAGTATAAGATGGAAGTAAATGATGCTTTCATAGATATCAGTGACAGATGTGAAACAGAAGTGTAATTTATATATTCCAATTATGGTATCTATGTAAAAGTAGTTCCAAAATCCATACTGAAAATTTCTCAGGAAAAACTGTATACAATGTCATTGTATCCAGTTGGATTAAAGGTATATAACAAATAAGCAGTTTTAATTAACCTATGTCTGACTACTAGTATTCCTTATATATTTGAGCATTAAATTTGAAGATCTGACATGTAATCTTATATTATATGGCAGAACCAGGAGAGCATCTGGTGATGGTCCTTAGCTCACATCTGCCTGTCCTGGCCATGCTTTCCAGTGCTGTGCTGGTCATGGCAGTTAAAATGTAGCTGCCTGTTGATAACCAAGTTCCTAAGCTAAAGCTTGTATAACAGTCATTCCAGTTGGAATCATCTGGTGAGGAGCCTTTAAGGGTCCAATTTAAAATGTGAAGATGTCAGAGCTTGACAGTTATAGTAAGGGTCTCATTTATACTAAGAATAGTGAACCTTGACCTAGCTGAGTGAGTATCTCCAGTGGAACACATGCAGTCAACTTGGAGACAGGGGAACAGTGCATCTCAGCTGTAGAAAATTTTTAAAAATAATTATGTAATTAAATAATGACTAGATTACATTTATGAAGAACATTAAGTGTTAGATTGGGCTGAAGAGGTTTCTGACCATGATTTTTTTTAAAATTACAACAGTATTTTCATTATTTTTTTGAGACTGTCACATGTATATACAATGTATTTTGATCATATTCACCCTCCTCTCCTTAACTCCTCCCAGATTCACACTCTACCCCCCCCCCATACTCCCTCTCAACTTTGTGTCTTTTTTAAAAAGCCCACTGATACCAATTTGTGTTGCACATATGCTCATTAGTGTGGGGCCATCCACTGGAGCATGGTCAACCTACCTGGGGTCAAATCTTTAAAGAAAACTGACTCTCCCTCCCCAGAAGTGATCAGTTTCCCAACCTAGGTGGGTGGGGCTCATGAGCTCCTCCATGCTCCATGCTTGAATGTTGCCTGACTTGAAATTGTGCAGGCATTGTTTAGGCAACCACACTGATGTGAGGTCATACTCAGAAAACACTGTTTGACTCAACTCCTCCCTAACTTCTGGCTCTTATACTCTTAATGCCCCCTCTTCCTTGATGAGCTCTGAGCCTTGCTTGGGAGCTGTGATATAGATGTTCCCTTTGTGGTTGAGAACTCCACAGATACTTTTTTTTTTTTTTTTTGGATCAGTTGTGACTTTCTCTGTCAACTACTGTCTGCACAAAGAAACTTCTTCGATGAGGTCTGAGAGCTGCACTGATCTATGAATATAGAAATAGTGAATTTAGGGGGCAGATATGATAACTTGTCAATTTAGGAAAATAATAGTAGTATGTTCACTCCTGAGGTCTATAAAGCTCTCCAACCATGGATTCTTGGTTAGATCTATATTACCAGCAAACATTTCCTTCTGTGGTGTAGGCTTTCAGTCCAATCGGAAAGTGACTGACTACCCCATAGCTCTCATGCTGCTGTTGCACCCATATGCTTATCTGGCAGTTGTTATTGTAGTTCACAGGGGTCACCCCTGGGTGGATTGTTGATGACTCCTCCCACCCCAGCAGCCTGTACAGCACCTTCCAGTGCTATGACAGCTTAGCCAGAAGGGAGAAAGCTTCCTGCTGAGTGCCAACTTGGTTTCTCCATGTGCTAGGGCCAAAGTTTGTGTCTGATCATACTTTTTAAAAATTCTTTTTATTTAAAAAATTATTTTTAATTTTGCATCCCAACCCAAGTTCCCGCTCCCTCCTCTAATCCCACTCTCTGCCTTCCTCCATTCCTACCCCTCATCCACTC